GGATAAGGTGCCTTATTTAGGAGACATGAGCTCAAGCTCCCAGACAGCCCAGTTCTGAATGGGGATATGGTTGTGCAAGCTGGGCGGATGAGGTGCTAACTGCCCAAAGCTGAGCAGATGAGAAGCTAACTGCACACAGCTGGACAGATGGGATGCTAACTGCTCAAAGCTGGGCAGATGAGGTGCTAACTGCCCAAAGGTGGGCAGATGAGACACTAACTGCCCAAAGATGGGCAGATGAGGTGCAAACTGCCCAAAGCTGGGCGGATGAGGTGCTAGCTGCCCAAAGGTGGGCAGATGAGGCGCTAAATGCCCAAAGCTGAGCAGATGAGATGTTAACTGCCCAAAGCTGGACAGATGAGATGCTAACTGCCCAAAACTGGGCAGATGAAATGCTAACTGCCCAAAGGTGGGCAGATGAGGCGCTAACTGCCCAAAGGTGGGCAGATGAGGTGCTAGCTGCCCAAAGCTGGGCGGATGAGGTGCTAGCTGCCCAAAGCGGGGCAGATGAGGTGCTAGCTGCCCAAAGCGGGGCAGATGAGGTGCTAGCTGCCCAAAGGTGGGCAGATGAGGCGCTAACTACCCAAAGGTGGGCAGATGAGGTGCTAGCTGCCCAAAGCTGGGCGGATGAGGTGCCAGCTGCCCAAAGGTGGGTGGATGAGGTGCTAGCTGCCCAAAGCTGAGCAGATGAGATGCTAACTGCCCAAAGGTGGGCAGATGAGATGCTAACTGCCCAAAGGTGGGCAGATGAGGTGCTAACCACATCGCTCCATTGTGCACCACCAGTAACATGACTGGCGTACCTCTCACAGGCTAACCGAATGGGCCATCTAGACCTCTTTTCCTGACCTTGTCATATTTTGGTACAGCTCCGTTCAGCCTTTCACAGGTACTTCTGCTTAGCTCAGTCAACTTGACAACCGCAGTGTACTTTCAAGTACCTAGTGCTAGGGTACAACTAATCAACAAGGAATGGATTTTGAACCTCCAGCCCCCAGAAAGAGCTCAGGGGTGCCACATTTTACTGAAGAGGCATCTGCAAAGTTTTGTTTGGAGAAAAATTAAAACCTTCCCCAGGAAGAGGGGCACCAGCCAGACATGTAAGCTAGAGATGAACTTGCACGGTGAAGCAAAACCATGTTTGGCGGGGATCGTAACAGCATGCTCATCTGAATTCTACTCTGAATTGTTGCAGAACAGTAAAGTATTTAATTGGGAAGACTGTGCTGCCCCTAGTTTCATGAGAGCCAGGGACTCCCACGAACCCACTCCCACAACATTACCTCGCCCCCCAGACCTTCAGCACAATGGAGCGGGGAACTATTTATTTCTCAGGCAGTTGTGAGGACTTCAGCATTGACCTTCATAGGGTTGTGCTGTGCACCATCCCTTGAAATGGCACACATTCACATTTTAAAAATGACCAGCAAGTTTAATTTGGGAATCATTTTCATGATGGGACACACTGTGAAAAGGAAATCTCTTGTGTTCTGTCTCCTTTAATCTCAGCTGCTAAGGCTTGAGGATAGGGTGACATTTTTCAATGCTGGTTCCCTTTCTCTGACTAAATCCTTCTGTAGCAAACTCGGTACGAGGAGCTAAGCCTTTATGCATTCACAACTTCTGAGTCAAAATTGCAGCAACTAAAGATTTCTTTTTTCCCCGAAAGGGATAATTATACTGCAGAGGCTGGGGCAAAATAGCAAGAGGGGGAAGCATCTTTAAAACAAGCCAGTGGATCACTTTAACCCCATTAGAAATAAAATAATTGTGACATTTACCATCGAAGGTTTCTTAGGAGTGGGACCAGGGAGGTTTTGCAAGAGGCCATGAAAGAGGTAGCTACTTGAGGGAGTGCTAATGAACCGCTTCCCTTTTTTCCAAGTATCAAGGACATCTATTTCTGGTTTTGTGACAAGCCATCCTGGAGTTTCTAGGACAGTCCTGAATTTAAGGGCTGTGTCAGTGTCCCTGAGGACTTCCTGAAATGCAACGCTTGTCCCAAATTTAAAAACCTGGCCCTTGATCAGCACCAAGCAGTACCCTGTTGTATATGCAAAGAGGACACAGCACAACGCTGTAGGGTGCAGTAGGAATGCAGACACGCTGCTTCCAGGTTGGGGGACAGACACAGGCTACCCCCTGACCTGCGTCCTCGTGGGGCTGCATCTGGGGGAGAGGATTAGTGCCAGTTCAGCCATGCACTAGGGCGGTTACCCCGGCTGGAAGAAGTGGTGTAAACGACTTCCTTCTGGTTCCAGAGGTCGGTGCAGTGTCCCAGGTCTACGGTCCAGGTTTTGCCCCCTGAAAGTTGGTTGGTTGACTTTCATATGAGGCTTTCAATCATGTAAGGTAGCAGCACAGAGGTAACAATGAAGAGGGAAGGGAAGCTTCAAAGCAAAAAAATTAATCCCCACAGCTGGACCCCTTCACACGCAGGCTAAAGATGTAGGACACAGATCCCTCGAGCCTGTGTCTCGGCCACCTGATATCCCACAGCTTTACCTGCTGAAAATGGGGACAGGCCACTTCAACAAAGAAATCTTTTGTACTCAGCTCTGGGTGCATTTGGGCTTTGCAACCAGGAGTGAAAACTGAAAGAAAGCTTTTTTTTCCCTCCCCTCCCTTTCAAAAAGTGCAGTTGAAACGTGGGTGTAGGTTGTAGCCGTGTTGGTCTAAGGACATAAGCAGACAAGGTCCTTTGGGTGAATCTGATCTCTTTTATTAGACCAACTTACATTTTTTTCCAACCATGTAAGTTGGTCTAATAAAAGTTATCAGATGCACCCAAAGAACAGTTGAAACATAGCGCCCTTCCAGGTGCAGGTGAAATGAGTTACTGGCTTTTAAAAACAGTAAAAAGTTGCCGTCCAACTCTGCTCTGTGCTGTGAAAGTTTGGGAGGCAATCGTTTAAAAGCCAGGACCAGAAATGCAGAGCGCTGTGGCTTTCCAGAGAGCGACCAACAAAATGCAGGGAGTTGATCAAATCCACCCCAAAACGTCAAGGTAAAAAAAAAAAGCAACAGAAAGCAAATGGTAGATATTCTTCCTCCGTAAACATGTGATTCGTTTCTGATGAGGCCTAATTGATATTACCAAAAACAATACAGCTCATTCCCATTGCTGCTGGCACCACGAGCCTATCTGTCAGGATATACGCTCCCACGAAAACCTTGCATGCGTCTCCTGATGATGAAAAAAAAGCCTTCTAAAATGAATCAGACTAGAATATGTTTCCCCGGTGCTTTTCTTTTTAAGCCGGAGTGGAATATATCAGAGCCATAAATTTGCTTACCCTTCTGTTCTGTACATTGAACACCTCTCCAGAGGAATTTTTAGCACTCCATTATTTAAACCCACAAACAGTGACCTGTCACTGTGCAGGATTTGGAGGCTCTTGATTGGTTCCTGTTGACCGGCGGGAAGAATTTGCATTTCCTCTAAATAACAACTCCTCAGGCTCCGATTAGTGGTAGAAAGTGCCTTCAAAATGGTGCCGTACTCTAAGGGAACAAGAAGCAAGACACAGGTAAATCTCAGAGATATTGGCTCAATTTTGCATCTGGCACGAACACTAGCGATTAGCAGCATCACATTACACAGCAGCTTTCAGGCTAGCCTTCTACTGCTCTTCAAACGTGTTTGTACCCACAAATTGCCTTAGCTTGCAGGGTCAATTCTCATTCATGTGTTCAGGTGTCCTTAGCTCAACTGGTTATGGATCAATTCAAGCTGGAAACTAGAAAAAAGTTTCTAACTAGCAGAGGCGTAAGGTTGTGTGGCAGCCTTCCAACTGTTTTTAGGGCAAAACTATTACTTTGTTTTAAGTGGAGCTAGGAGTGTCTACATGAGATGCTTTAGTGCGCAGCAGACTAATCTACTGGACAGTAAAGCATGACTGTCTACATGCGCGCATCGTTTGCTGTGCAGTAATTTAGGCTAACGTGCAGTTAGCTAGTACTTGTAAATACAGGTGTTAGATTAACTGTGCAGGAGTTACTGCGCAGTAACACTCGTGTAGATGCTGACCAGCATGAACAATGCATGCCCCCAGAGGCTGGGGGGGCACAGCAAGCTCCTGCAGGCGGTGGCAGCGGTGGTGGGGACGTGGCGGCAGCGAGCTCCCGCAAGCGGCCACAGCAGTGTTGGCGGTGCGGGTGGGCCGAGCGGGGAGCTCCCGCAGGCGGCCACAGCAGTGTCAGTGGGTGGGAGAGGGGGCAAGCACCGACCAGTGGTCAGCGACCACCCACAGATGCCACCGGCAGCGGCAGCCAGCAGCGATTGGGGACTGCCCACCAACACCACTGGTGGTGTCGGTGGCGAGGTGGGGTGGTGGCCAGTGGCGACTTCCCGAAGACACCGCCGGCAGTGTCTCTGGTGTTTTTTGCAGGAGGTGCAACACCAATCTCAGGCATCACCAATGCTAACCAGGAGTAAATTTGCTCCCGGTCATCCTAGGCAGCAGGAAGTCACAGGGGACAGAGAGCTCTGTGCCCATGGTCCTGGCACTGCTCAGCTCCCAGTTCCCCCCAGAAGCTGGGAGCTGATCATCACTGGGACTGGGGAGTTCTCTGCACCTGGTCCTGGCTCCCAGCACTGAGCTGGTAGCTCTGGAGGGTGCGCGGGAGCTGGGAACCCAGCCCCTGCCTGGCCCCCTGAGCAGCTCTGCATGGTGCGGAGCTGCCTATTCCAGGGGCCGAGTGAGGGCTGGGAACCAAGCACCCGCCCGTCTCCCAGAACAGCTCTGCACAGCAATAGCAGGAGAACACACTCAGTGTCCAAGGGGTCCCCTTTCAGTCATACGTTCCTATTACTTTATGGAGTAGATAAGTCCTTTTTCTTTGCCAACACAAATAGCAAACAGTGCTCCTGGCTGGACAGCTCAGCTGTCACGGCAAAGACTGAATAGGCTCGAAATCTAAGGGCGTGACTATATGTGCGCTTTAATGCGCACTAGCCTATTTTAATGCACATTAAAGCATCACCAACAAAAAAACAGTGCTTTTTAGCTAATGCACATTAAAATAGGTTAATGCACATTTTTCTAGTACCTCACAACGGAGGTACTCAATTTAATGCGCATTACCTAAAGCACATTAATTGAACATGTAGATGCACCCTAACTGATCGTTCCCAAGCTACAAGTGGTCTTTCTGGTTGGGAGATTATCTAGATAGAGTGCAATGGCAATGAGTGATGTGTGTGTCAAAGCATGTGTATATTAGCACTATCCGTGTTGTTGATTTATTCAGTTGATGGACTAGTGGTCCTATAGAGGATATGCACGAAAAACATCCCAAAAGTAAGCCACAATGATGTCCCCACAGATGGTGAGAGGCAAAAAACAGATGGAATTCAAGTCCCGGCCTTCGCTCCTGCCATTGTAACTGGGGCACCTCACTTAAGGAATCAACGTGTTGAATTGGCAGAAGAACATCATATTTCATCCTAATTACAGTTTTCTCATCACGATCATTTCCATGCAGGCTTAAAACAGTGGGAATGTTACTAAAATACATCAAAGATGAGCACTTTCAAAGTAAGTGGTGGTAACAGTGAGATAAATTATGACACAATCCTGGAAGATGGTAACACAAGACTGAGACAACGACTCTGCATTCAGATGTTAGATTAAACTAACACTTACAGAGGCAATTTATCTTATTTTAAAGTCAATGCTCTTGCAATAGAGGACAGCAACATGATACCCATGAGGCTGGCCATCTGCTCTGATTAATCAAACTATTTAATTTAACTTTCATCATAAGTGTAAATATGGGTTAAGACAGCCATTTGTAATACGGTGTCCTTCTCTTGTGTCTTACATCCAAGGTTCTTGTGCTTTCCAGTAGAGGCAGACCACTGAATTGCTGTGTGGTCTTAAAGAAAGGTCTGCCTCAGTTTGCCCACCTGTAACGAGGAGAATATAATGCATGCAAATTCATGGAAGCACCCTAAGGTCATATGATAAATGGTGCCTAGAATAAGGCACAGTATCGCTATTACAAATACTTGTGCCTCGCAGCAACCCTGGCAGGAAGTGCCATTGCTGCTGCTATAGAGACAGGTACGCGGTAGCAGACAGACAATTTAGTCTGCACAAGCCCACCCTGATTCAGCAATCAAGGGCAAGCCCTTTGACCTTTCCCACGGCCATTATAACTAATCAGACGGAAAGCACATGTTACCAAAGGAACGAGATCATCTTTTGCTTTTTTACAAATCCTGGATTTACGGCTTCTTTCCTATGGATCTTATCTCAAGTCCTCTATCCTGTTTGGATCTATTTCTTACTCAGGCAACTAACTCCATGGACTTTTGACCGGGTGGGCACTGAATACAACCCGAGCAGTGACCTCAGAGTCAGGCTATTAGGTCTGTGAACAAGCAAAAAGAACTCCCATAAGCAATAATACTCTTACCTGTCCCAATATACATCACGTGGTAGAGAGTATCCTTCCCCTGAACAATATCGACCACCAATTTGGAAAACCGAATGCTGTCCTGAGTCACGTACGGATCTACAGTCATGGGCTGAACCACGTCGTTCATCAGGAACAAGCGCTGGGCATCCTGGAGGATCCTTTCAGTTAGGTTCTCATTAGGGCTGTCGTCCTTCAACGTCCCGCACTAAACATGGAAGACAGGAATTCAACCAGCTGCGTTTTTTTATCCCGTCCAAATGGCCCTAGACCAAATCCTGGATCCCTTCGCTATGAAAAAAATACCTGTTGACTACTCTGGGAGGCATGACTGAGTAAGGCCTTTCGTGTTCAGCCCTCCATTATACTAACTGGGTGCGTCTACCTGATCCATGTGCTTTAATGCACATTAGGCTACTTTAATGCACAGTAAAGCGTAAAAAAAAAACCCATGCTCTTTAGCTATTGTGCATTAAAGTAGGCTAATGCACATGTTTCTAGTACCTCACAACAGCGGTACAAGATTTAATGTGTATTACCTAAAGCACATTAATAAACGTGTAGACACGCCCATTGCCTGTACTACAGCTAGGTTTGGTCTTCATGGTTTATCCCATAAAGATACTTCTCCACACTGGTCCATTGGTCAGGGATGTTGTATTTGATGGCTGAGTGACACCAACATGCTTGTACATCTATAGATTGGCCACGGGGATTACAAATTAGCTGTAATCCTAATAAATAAAAAACTAGAATGGGCAAAGACATTTGGAGGAGATAAGAAACCCCTGAACTGCTACTCCTTTTGGAGTTCCCCCTAGATAACCCCTCTCACCTCGAGTGCTGTATGAACCTGAATTGCAACCCCCCCAAAAATGCGCTCTTGTCTGAAAACAATGAGCTCCCCACCTCACCTTCCCCATTCAAATTCCCTTCCCAACAGGTTCCTCTGATTTAAGTCATCCTTCGGAAGGAAGCTGGCCTGTAACTTGCCTGCAGCCCCGACATCTTCACAGGTAGGAGCTAGGTAGAGTGAATCTGCCCCTTCAAATGAGATCTTTGCTACTAATGTCAGTGGCACCTTCAGTCCTCCCAGTTCACTTCCCATGGCCATCCAGCCTCCTTAGGTGGAGGAAGGGGAATCGCTGTCTTTGCTCCTTTTAACTGTTCTGAGTACCTCGTTAGGAGGCCTGAGTCACCGCAGAATTTACCTTGTATCTTTACTTTAATGTCTAGCACTTAATATTTTCAAAGCACAGTAGAAGACTGTACTGCTGCTTTAGACAATGACAGGTTTGCCACTAATGTCAGTGGGACCAGGGTTGGACCTTCAGTCCTCATACCATGGAGAAGACAAGAAGGTTTCCATTAACGCCCTATGCAAGATGAGGAGCCCAAGCCAACCCTACAGGAATTACGGGCAAGCTCATACTTAGTGCTCACTCTCAAACCCGATCCACTGGACTGCACTGCCTCTGTTATCTGGTGACCATGAACTACTGGACGTTACAGCAGAAAAAAAACACACTAGGGTTTCTCATGAGGACCATCTTATTTGGATTAATCTACATGTTACTGCACAGTAAGAGAGGGGGTGAATTTACTGACTCCCAATCTGGTTGCCCTTAATGGGAACTAAGGGCAGCACTTTGTGGCCCAAGCTATTCCCCAAGGCATGCTGCACAGACCGAGTCTCAGTGTGCACTACCAACACTCCTGCTGGGGCAGTTAGCCAACAGGAGCTAGCATAACGGCATACCACAAAGAGGTTTAACACAATTGCTGGTGAAACCTTCCTTTGGAAAGGAAAGCGCCAGTTGGGTGAATCTCTGCAGGCAACCTGCTGCTACCTTTTTTAGGCCAAGATGGTGCAACTTCACTCAACTCAACGGGGCTGTGCTGATTTAGACCAGCCAAGGAACCGGCCCTCTGGTTAGCATCTTTGGCATCTTTCCAAATACATCACATCTACTGTAGAGATCAGAAGTTTTTTGACATGCCCTTGCAAAGGAGTTTTAAACCAGAAAAGGTCCTTTGGATTTCATTAGTGCCTAATCCTAGCTCTAAAGCATTTCTGATCTCTTGCTTTTTTCCCTTCTCCTCCCCACTGTCTTTCTGGACATAACCTTGTGTCGTGCTTCGGGCATGCCGGTTCTCCCCTAGTGCTCCCTTTTCCTTTACCGCCCCATGTTGCAGAAGGAATCCGGGTGCCTGGGGTGTCACTGTTTGTATCATGTTCTATTCTTGTCGAGTTGGAGATAATCCTTTTGGTCTTTTGGCAGCCCTTGTGCTGACACAGCATCCCTCTGGGTTTGCTTTATTTTTTGTTCTAATTTCCTGATTATCTGCACTGTCCTGATACTCAGTATCCTTCAGTACTTCTCCTTCCTCGGGGTGGGGGAGAAGGGGACCCTGTTTCTGGCATCCTTCCCTCATCTTCCTTTGTGAACGCCAAGCCTAAGAATTAATTTAATTTTTTTGCAATATCTGCCTCTCCTGTCACTAAATTACCCTTGTCATCTCCTAAAGGCCCTTCACTGACCTCTTGTTCCTTGTGTACTTGAAAAATGTCCTAATCTCTTTTTGCAATCTTCCCTTCGCCTGCCACAGACTTTCCTTTCCCTTTCTTATTTCTTGCTTCTGTTAACTGTCTCATCTTGGTCCTGCAATCTCTCCACTCTCCCATTATATCTGATATCTTTCACTGGATATAAATCTTTTCCAGATTCATTTGTGCACCCCCACCCTATTCATCTAGGGCTCAGCCCAGCCAGGTCCTGAGTGCTCTGAACTCTCCTTTAAATGAGAGACTGAGAGTGTTTGCTACGACCAGATCTCCAGCTGGGCTTTCTTTTCCAAGTGCACCCAGTCCAGGGGTGGCCAAAATGTAGCCAGTCAAGGTGGAGTAATGCACGTTGGGACCCACAGTCTGCATGGATTGCACCTCTGCATTACAGACTCGCGGACTGGGAACTAGATTGACCAAATCTGGAAGGAGGCCCACTGGGCCCCTGGGAGTCCAGCTGGCTGGAGCTGCTCACGGATGGCCAGAATCAGCCAAGTTCTCCCCGCAGCGAGGTCCTGCGCTGTGCTGACTCTGAATCTGGATGGAAGGTGGTTGCAATCTGTTCCATATTTTTGCAAATTGGCTCTAAGTCTCAGGATGCTGGAATACTGCCAACACACAGATTTTAAGGCCAAAAGGGAGTATTATGATCATCTAAACCGGCCTCCTGTGGAACTCACAAACCAAAGAATTTCACCAGTAATTCCTGCAGCTAGCCCATATCTTCCAGCTGGACAAAAGCAGTGGTCTCCAGCCCGTGGTTACCAGGCAACATTTTTGCCCACGAGATGCTCTGATGTTGCCTGCAGCCGGGGGAAATTAAATATGTGAAGCTGAGGTTGACAGGAAGAGCAAAGTATGATGCTGTCTGCAGCATGCTACTTGCTTGATATTGCTGTTTCTGGGCAGTGAAAGCTGGGGACCACTCAGATACAGGATCTCTCATAAAAAGACAACCAATCTTGATCAAAGGACTAGATCTGGAAGTCCTTTGTGGAACATACAGATGTGCTCCCATCAGATCCGTGTTCCTACCTATGGTAGCAATGAGCACACGGGAATTCCTGCGCTGTCAGACCTGTAGCCCATCCAGCCCATCATAATCTCCAGTAGGTAACAGTCCTAGTGGCTTCAGTGAATGACGGATGAAACCCTGCACTAGGAAATGTTGGAATGACTCTTTCGTGGACCCTCTCCTCTTCTCTCTCTTAATTAGAGGGCAGCTTATGGCCTGCAGCAGTCCTTCCACACTTGGTCCATTTTTAAATCTTTCTTATGACAAACATTAGCTATTCTCATTATCCATATAAACATTCAGGCTAGGGACAGGCATTACACATAAACTGGTTTTAGCGATCACAAACTGGTTTATACTTGTAACAGAACAGATGTTCACTGCACACAAGCCAGTTCGAAAATGGCAGTTTGAGATAAACCTGGTTGAATGTAGTATCAGACTTCAGGGATTTGGGTCAAACTGGCGTATGCAGTGTCTGTCCCAGACCCCTTCCTGGTTTAAGTTACATCAGCATCCTCCCGCATCCCAGATGCATTGCAACGGTGGGCGGGGGCTCTATTCTCTGCTCCAGCCCCGCAGGGCTGGCCCCTCTCCCCCTGCTCCCTGGCTCCCTCTCTCCCGTGTCTGCCTGGCTTCCTCCTGCTCCCCCTTCCCCCCCGCCATCACTCCCTGCTCAAGCAGGGATTCATTCCCCCATCCCCTCTGCCTTACACAGACACCTATCAGCACTAGCTAGCAGACCACATGCTGGCTACGGTCCGTGATGTGGGAGACAGGACAAAGGCAGACAGGACAGTGTCGGCTTAGGGATTTTTGGAGCTAATCAACAGGTGGCTGGTAATGTTCCTCCGTTCCTTCCTTGGAAAAAAATTGTTTAAGAAGAGCTTGAACTAATGAGAGAAGCTTTGCTTTGTTTGATGGGGTGATAAATGCTAACAAGTCCCTATGTAACTCCCTGCTGTGTAACTCAATGCTCTGTTATCAACAGCGAGGTGGGGGGGGAACCCCTCCCTAATTAGAGCGTCCTGCGGGGCTGGCCATCCCCTCCCCCCCCTCCATCAGCACTGTGGAAGGGAAGGGAGGGCTGCTCTAACCCGAGCCACTGCAGGCATGTGCTTGTATTCCTTCAGTCCAGAGGGGATGTCTATGAGGTTACAAACCGGTTTAGCTTAGCCAGCTTAGACTAACCTGTGAAGACTGAATCAATTCAGCCTCAGGCTTTTGAATGTCTGTCCCTAGCCTCAATCTTGCCTTGAAACCTGAGTAATCTATGGCCTCAGTATAACAATTGTGGCAATGCACTGCACAGACTAAATGTGTGGTGGAAAAGCAGGTACCTTTAACAGCTGAGAAATCAGACCTACAAATATTTTTTCCTCGTTCTTTTACCGGAACTAGAATCTTCCATAAATGTCACTATTTCCCCCTCTTGTTCATGCTGCTGAAATATTTTGGTAAATCTTGAACATTTAAAAAAAGCACATGCAAAAATAATTAAGTATTCTGATGTATATAAAATCACCTTATTGCCCTCACCCACAACCAAGTTTTCCACTATGCCTTCCACAGTGGAGTTCAACAAATGGTACTCGGCTCATGTTTCTACTAGACTCACGGGCTCCATAAAAGTCAACCCAGTACAACAACCGCATTAAAGAAAAACGTAAAAGGGTCTGAAGCAAATTCAAGTGCTGCAAGAATACCTGAAAATTAGGGGTGGGGTTTATAGTTGGCAGCCACGCTGATCTTGGATTCTCCTGGTATCTGAAAGGGCCATTGAATGCCTGAGTAATGGCACTCAGATTGAAGGCACACACTGCTGAGGCAGCTATACTGTTTCTAGAAAGCAGGGGGGGGAAAATCAATTTAATCATTAGAACATTGACATTTTCATCATAACAGACATCAAACGGCACTCAAATAAAATACATGTAAATTGCTAGGTAGAAGTATAGTGATACAGATCTCAGGGGTGGGAGGTGGGGAAGGGAACCTATACGGATTACTCGACAATTGGGAGAACACATTTTAAACTCAGTTTTAAAACGTCTGTGATTTAAGAGCCGTGGCAGCAATTCTGACGTGGAAGGTGAGTACAATTTAATTTGCATGGATTATGTGTGTCTGATTTTATGTTTATATTTTTATTTATTTTACATCCCATCAATCCTGATTGATTACAAACGGCCTAATTTTTAATCTCTCGGCATTTCTCAAGGTGAAGCTGAAATTCAATTCCTGCAGCCGTCTGAAAAGCATAGCTGCACCCACATTCTCCAATATACACGTAATACGTACACACACACACACGCACGCGCACACACGCACAAAGGGAGAAAGTGCATGGGCGCACCGGGATAGCAGTTCAGCTTGCAAGAGGGACCTGCTGACATACAGAAGTTGCAGTTCTCAGTCATCCTAGTGCATGTCTTTGCGGTCCCAGCTGGGAATCACGTGTGTCTCAAACAGACCACTGGGAAGACAGGGGAGGCAGTCTTTACAACAAACGCCCCTGAAAGAAGGCATATCTGGAAGAGCCTTTGTTTTCACAGCCTTACCCTATTTAGCGCAGGTCCTAAGTGAGCCCTGGCCCTTCTGCTCCTCTCACTAAGGGCATACTCCTAGCAGGTGCTAAGTACACCTGGCTCCTTTTCATTTCAGCAGCGCTGAGACGGTTCACAATTTCCAAATGGTACCCAGCCTCTGCCAGGATTAGGCCCAAAGCACCGACAATGACAAAGCATGTATAAACCCTACCTGGAATTCAACCCCCTATTTTTTTTTTTTTTTTAAAGGGAGAAGAAAAGAACAGAAAATTAGAGAGAGATATCAAATGAAAAATAAAGGGACAGCAAAGGAGATTGACTCGTCGTGGTGCCTTTTCAATAACCCTGGGCTAGCTTTGCTTGTCGGGCTGCTAATCAAAGCAACTGGAATTCTCGGAAAAGAACACAATTTTACGAAACCTGTAATTACTTTCACACACTCCAAAAATAATAATAATAATAAAAAGCCTAGCTACACGCTTCCAAGTAGAGAACTAGAGGGGCAGATTCGACCCGAGCAGGGTTCTGCAGAAGAACACAACACAAGGAGGAACAGTTTTGTGTGCTTTCTCTTCTCCGCCTTTCCCCACCCTGCACCCCTTCCACGTCACCGAGTGTTGCAGCGATTCCCCCAGAAGGTGTCAAAGCCCCGCACACGAAACCCATCTTTGCTGCTGTCTGAATGCCGCTGACACAGTGCGTTTTCATAGAAGGCAGCCCTTAAGACACAGCTAACGAGGGGTGACAAGTACATGCCTCGAGGCACCAAAATATACTAGTCTAAATAAAGCTTCATATATATAATATATATATAATATAACATATTTTATATATATATATATACACACACAGACACACACACACACACATTCATAAAGGTAAGGGTGGCCAAAATTTGGAACGGGCTCCCAAGGGAGGTGGCGCTTTCCCCTACCCTGGAGGTCTTCAAGAGGAGGTTACTAGCTGGGGTCATCTACACCCAGCGCCCTTTCCTGCCCAGGCAGGGGGTCGGACTCGATGATCTGTTGAGGTCCCTTCTGGCCCTAACATCTATGAATCTATAAAATATATATATACACATACACAGACATACATAAAACATATATATATTTTATATATATGTTTCATGTATACATTATATATATATACACACACACATATGTGTGTTTTATGTATATGTTTTATGTATTATATATGTGTGTGTTTTATGTATATATTTTATGTATGTTTCATGTCTATATTATATATATACATATATAAAGTGTGTTTTATGTATGTTTTATGTATATATATGTGTGTTTTATATATATATTTTATATATATGTTTCATGTATATATTATATATACGTGTGTATTTATGTGTTTTATGTATGTGTTATGTATATATTTAATGTATATGTTTTATGTCTATATTATATACATACATACGCACACAACAGATATATATATACACACACACACACACACATATATATATATATATATATATATATATATAATGTATACATACATATATATTTATATGTATGTATGTACATATAAATAATAATGGATCTTTTTCATATAAAATGGAGCTTTATACAGAGCCCTGTTAATACTTCAGAGCAGAACTCCTTGCCTTTGGCAAAGCCGGCAGGGGGGAGATGTATCAGATGCGCTTCATGCAGTTGTCTGGTCCCACCGGCCAGGATTTTTCCATCCCTCACTGACCATTTTGATCCTAATCAGAAACCACTGACATTCATTTCTGAGTATTAGCTGGCCTCTATCTTACCCAGATTAAAAAAAAACTCAGTCTCCTTTATTTGCATCTGGGGCTCCTGATGATTAACTAGGCTGTTAAGTTCAAAGGTTTTTAAATGCAAATCCCAGTGACCTTATCACTTTAATAAAAACTTTTAAAGTATTTTATACTCTACTTCCCTAAAGAGCCATCTTTCCCACAGGCTTAGCTCAGTATTGCACAAGGAACTATATCTCTATTAGTAAGGGGGTTTTTCAGGACGGCAGGCAATCCGAAATGGTAGCCCTTTGTTGGGAGATGGCCCCAACTCTGCTCAACAGGAATTTTCAAGGTTAGAAATATATTCTTAAACCAACAGAGTGCATCTTCAGTGCATCAGCAGCGCACTGGGTACATACACAGGCTGGAACATAAATCAGCCTCATTTGGTATGCAGCACGCATGCAACGTTAAGTCCCCGTGGAAGTTAAAAGAATAATTACCATTATTTCTCTAGTCGGATGACAAATTGGAACACTTTCTCTTTGAACTCCTGAAAGAACACCGTGCCGTCGACCCAAAACACTACTCGATCTAACTTCAGCTCTTATCAATAACTCATCTCTTTAGTTACACAAACGTTATATAATCTCTTGTTCTCAGGAGGTGGGCGAGGGAATAGGCAGCTGGGTAGCCGTAAAATAACAGGGCTAAGTATTACGAGAAGATGGATGAGGCAACAGCCATCCTGTGCTTCCAAGAGATGCTGTGAGCAGCGCTACCATAGTCACTGCCGGGCAGCGTCATGTCCCAGCTGTGTCACCCAACGTCTTCTCCCACTTCATTGCAAGTCCTGCTTCAGCTATTAATTATAATCATTTATTCATCGCTTTTCTTATTGTTTGAAGCTAGCTAGATGGATGGATAAAAGCTCTCGGGCTTTTCCCTACACACAGGTGAGTCCTTTATGATAACACAACCAGCGTCTCATCTTCACCAAATGCTCCAGCCAAGCCTCTCTTCCAGCTACAGAAGATTGGCTACCTTCCCTCGGGCCTGGCTTTTAGAGAGGGATTCATGCAAAGTTCAGCGCTGGATTACAATTCCCCCGAAGCCAGGGGAGGGCGGCTCCGGCTTTGTGGTTTAGGCGCATTGCCCAATTATTTTTCTTGTTCACGCTGCCTCTGCCCTGAATGGTCCTCGGCTGACGCTGGCAGCGACAGTACAGAAACGGCACAAGAAAAATGAGACCAGCCTCGAAACCTCCCTCCCTCTTGGCATTTCTAGCTTCCGAGTGGCATCCCGATGCCCGTCACTTCAGTCCTGAAATTCCCACCGCGTTCAGCGGAGCCAAGATGCCCACGACTGCAGTGTCTCGGTGCTGTCAATGGCAGCAAAACACAATGCCGAGTCTTTGGGGAGACCGAGGGCGGCTCAATTCCTTTTCCAGCTCCAATGTAAGTGCGACGTGTGCTATGGCAGTGCCACACTCTGTCTCTCTCCCTGCCTTTGTGCACAGGCATGTGAGTTTGTCGTACTAACCAGCCAGGTTCTTTAACTCAAGACGTCGAGGACCTTGCTACGAGCTGAGTCTGGGCCACCACTGGCCCATCCACCCTGGGAATGCAACGTCACCTGAGCCAGGCCAATAGTTCGAGCAGGCTGCCAGCTCTCTGCCTGCTTGGGGTATATCAAAGGCTGGTTTTTGAGGGGTTTGCCTTCTGCTTATGCTGAGTTGTTCCCACTTTGAGAAGTAGCCCTATAAAGTTGGCTCTTCAGCATCAGCAAGGGGGTCACCCCTGATTGCTGTGCTCTGTGCAACAACGCACTAGATTTTCATTGCCTAGTTTATAAATTAGCCTGGCACAAGCCCCAGGGAGTGCTTATTATTGAACCCTGATAATGGACAAGCTAGTCACAGTCACAAACTTTATTACCAGAGCCTCGGGGTTCAGAGAAGCCTTGCTTGTGCTTTTCCAGCTTTTACAACAAATCATTGCAGCTTATCAAAAATTAATATCTTGTTCAACTTAGCTCTTTTCCCCACACTCTTGTCTCCGAGGCTCACCCCCGAACCAAGCCGTCCCGCTCCAGCTTTTTCCAAATCACCCAAAAGAAAAAAAAAAAAAATAGAGGGGGACAGCGACATGGAAAAGTTCACGTGCATCTTCAAGTCTCCCTTTCTCTGATCGCTCACCCTTCTCCCCCCGAGTTTTAAAGGAAACTTTGCCTCTCTGAATAACGTGGCTTTGCATAGACCATGTCTCTGCATAGACCATGTCTCTGCTATATTTCGAAAGCAATTAACCAGAACGTATAACGAGGCTGCAGACACGGCCATATTCACTGCCCTGGGGAGAGAGGAAAGGGAGGTGGCGCGGCACGCGAGAGAAAGCGCCCAAACTCACACGTTGGTAGTGAAGACTCCATAGATGAGGTCTTGCTCGGGGAGATAGAAGGTGCTTTGCAGTTCATTGTAATAGAAAGGTATCTCTCCGGAGCGGGAGCAGTTCAGCCGGGCCTTCATAAAAGTTGTCCATGTGTCCTCCAGCAAAAACCTCCCCCCAATATCATTTTTGCAAACTCTTGCCACGCGGGAATAGACGGTTTTCCCACAGTCGTGCTCAACCGCGTTCTCACGGAAAAAGAAGTAGGTGAATAACCCAATGTCGTAGGCAGCAATGAAATTGGGCTCTGCAATACAAAACACACAGTGAGGTTTGCACAGCTCTGCAATGAGACACTGGTCTGTGCACGGGGATGCTGGCCCCTCTTACACAGGCGGTAAGACCTAAGAGCACTGGGGACACTGGGCTGGCAAAGGCAGGGGGATTTGTGAATGATGGTGCATGGGGGAATAGCTCCATTACAGCTTCATTTCCTCAGCGTTAACCCTAGGAGTGTAAATCCTGGGACCAATCCTCTCCCCTTGCCATCAGTGGCAAAGCTGTCGCTCATTTTAGTGGCAGCTGAGTTAGACACCGAGGGAAGGCTTACACCATCGGTCCAGTGACCCCAAGACACAAGCTCTACCCACCTGCTCCTGATCCTCGAGTGCCACCTGCTCACAAATACTGCATGCTCACTTTTTGGGGGGGCATGCCCAGAGATGCTCTCAGGATCTCAGTCGCAGGCGTCCTCCTGAGAGCGACCACGTGGTCGTTTTTCAGTTTGCAACATGCACCAAGTTGGAGCAAGCAGCTGGTTTCTCAACGGTGGCCTCGAGATCACCATGGGGGCAATGCAGGCATCCCCCATGGGCTTACACTCGCCCTGCCACACAGTCACCCCATAGACTTTCTCCCTCCTATTTGTTTCCAGATTGCACCTTATGGGGCATTAGATGCGCTGTCCCCATCCTCCCCGTGCCCTAGACAGCTGCATGGAAGCGCTCCCCCTATTCCCCTCATGCAATAACATCTGGCTTTTATCATGAGCCTCTTCCAGGTCCCTTGATGCTTCGAGGTTTGCTCATGCCTGTAAAACAATACCACACCAAACCTGATCGTATCAAAGCATTTCTGCTCTCATCCATTCTTTTTCTCCCCAAATTATTATTATTATTTTCACAGGAATCCAAAAGGGCCTGGAACCAGTTTGATGTGCACATTTTAATCAGCTTTAAAGCCCATGGAGCCTTTCATCGCAGCCGTTTCTGAAGCAAAGGGAAAAAAAAGGCTGGCCGAGGACTGAGAGAAAAGAAAAACTCTGTTGGTTGCACAGGGAGCTTTTATGATGCTCTCTTCAGACTCAAGCTCAAAAGGAGGAGGAAGCAAGTACAGATCTCCTTTAATGCTGCTGGGCTCAGGAACAGGGAGAACAGAGCGTAGGGGAGGAGACGGGAAAGTGGAAATGTTCAGGTGATGACGCACAGCAGATCGGGGCCGCGAGGCAGCGTCTCCTCCGGCAGCAGAGGGTATCACAGCCGATGGCCGGACGGGGCCGTTGTGATCACCCCGTCCGAGCTGTCTTTTTGGAACCACAAGCTGGGACAACCCGAGCCAGGCCCCCGGTGCAACCTAGCAGCTACTGCTGAGACTTGTCCAGCCTGCTTTCTCCCCCTGCACGGGCACAGCTTCCAGCTGAACAGTCCCAGCGCAGATCAGGCCCCAGCTGCTGCAACACCACCAACGCCGCCGGGCGCTGTGGGCTGGGTCCAGCTCTCCCTCAGGCCAGATGTTGCTGACCCTTGCAGTCGATGATAATGAATTCACCTTTGAACCTTCTCTTCAGTAAGATAATAAATCAACTGCGCTCCGTAAGCTCTCACCGAGCCGGCTTTTCCAGACTGAATCGTGCTTGTGGCTCTTCTCTGAACCACCTCCACAACCCCTTATTTGTAGCACCGGCATCAGAGCAGGATGCAAAGACCCAACAAGGGTCTCACCAGGTCATCACTCTTCCCTATCCCTACTCAGTTCTCCCTGGTTTATGCATCTTAAGGCCATATTAACCCACTTGGGGAAGGTGACTTTGCTAAGCGCTTCTGTAAACTCTTTTTCAATTTTCGTTCCCCTCTTCCGGATTTTTTCCGCTTGGGAAGGGAAAGACAGACCCGCGGTTGTAAAAGAAATGCTGGCGCTTGCCTCCTGCACCTTCTCATGCTGAGCCTTGCTTCAGTCATACCCCAATGCTCTGCGGTCAGACAGCAGAGGCTGTGGACTGACTTACGGCTACACTGCTTTAAAAGGGAGCTGGGAGGGTTACTTTGATGTAGCTGCATCCAATGCATTTGTCTTGTGTGTCTGGTCTTAAGCTGCGGTAAGGGAAGCTAAACCACAGTGATTTATCACCCGTTTCATTTGGGGTTAAACTGGTGTGTGTAGCTTCACTGACCAGGGGTCAAGGGGGCACAGATAACACAACCACAACAGATCAGCTGACGCCTGCGTGTCAGCAGCAAGTTCTCCCCCTCCAAACAGTGCAATTGTACATCTGCCCTCACCTGTAGCCCCAGTCCCACCTATAGTACTGGGAGCGTGAATACAACTGCTGATCCCAATGCCATAGACGTCAGTGGGGACACTTGACAAAGCCCATTGACTCGGACAGGTTTTGAATTGGTTCCAGTTGACAGAGGTTTGTGGTGGACTGCCCATCGCTTAGGTCTTGCAGTTGAGACAGCGTGTCTTTCTAAGGGACATGCCCTAGCTCAGGCAGGAGCTATGGGCTCAGTTCAAAACTGCTGGCTGAAGTTTCATGACTAGTGTTACGCTGGAGTTCACTCTCGATCGTAATTGTTTCTTTGGGAATTAACATGTATTGATCTGCAAACGGGGGGAGTTTGTACGTTCTGGCATGATTCGCTGGGATGGACCAGATCTTGCTTTGCTTGCCAGGGGTAATTTAAATCCAGTTCATAAATTACACTCGGATCAGGGAAGGACAGATGTGCAGCTATCCTGGGGTAGCTCACATAGGAGATGGCTGTAACTGTGCCTTACTGCTAGGCAATGGGGAAGCTAATAATAGTTGGATTCTCTATGGCAAATGGCTATGTCGGGATCAGTGTGAAGAGATGAAACCTAAACCGATATAATTTACACCACTAGTATTTGACTCCTGATTCTTTCAAGGGCTAAATTTTCCACTGGTTTGAGTGATGCTGATGCAGTTTACAGGGTTGCGTTATCTGTCTGGTACATGTTTTTAACACTGGTGTCGAGTCGACTGCACCAGTGCAAACGCTTTGTCTGGCCGTGCCTGCTGAGCCTCTTCGATCCCTACTGAAGTTAGTGGGAGTTAAGGGTGCTCAGCACTTGCACGATATAATCAGCGTTTGCAGGTGCAATGTCTTTTCCATGTCCAAACAGTGCAGTAAGGCACCCCAGGAGACCCAGCTCTTACCAGGCACCTGCTAAACCACATGCTCCAGCTTCTAAATAAAGTTAAAATCCTCCCCAGCTATCTTTAACATCCCTGATTATTATGCCTTTCTCTTCACAATTCTGGATTTGGGTCCGAAGCGAGACAGTCTGCCCCACTGATCTGGAACGCGCCCATTGCTCAGGTCTGACCCAAGTGACCTTACCATTTAGCCACTTGGAGTTGTACTGGGCTGTCCTGAGCGGGGGCACGTTTCCGAGGCTGCGGTAAATAGCAGGGTCCCGTCCAGAGAAATCGATGACGGTTGCGGCGTAGAGCTCTCCTCGAGACGTGATCACGGCCGTCGAGTTGTGCCGAGGGTCGTACGGGCATCGTGCCACGCCGTTGATTTTGTCAATGATCTTGCTAAGGTTTCCTACCTGTGTTTAGAAAGGAGAGAGAGTGAAAACGTATAGTACAGCGCAGAATTCAACCTCTCCTTGAGTACCAGGGAACAAGTCTTACGAGAAAGGAGAGAAAAGAAAAAGAATATCACGCCGTGGGCAAGTGCTGATTGTAAGGTCAAGTTTAAATCCACCGTGACCCAAGGGGCAGCGCCATCGGCGTGATGAAGAAGCCTCATGTGTCCTGGCCCTTTACTGAGAGGTGCCTGCGGACACAGCTCATCACTGTCAGTGGAGCTGTACCCACACGCTCCAAACACTTATTTGCAACCTCGTTCCCTGTCTAGGTTTCTTCCTCCCCACCCCCCATTTTTACAGTCTGTCTTACTTTCTTTTTAAAGTGCTGTGGACTTGATCCTGATGCTGTTGAAACCAAGGAGAGGTCTGCCATTTGCTGTGGTGGGCACTTGGGGAAGGGACCCCCTGAGGTCAACCAGATGCTCCCTATCCACACCAATGACCTGCGAATGTTGTCAATACATGCTCAGTCGCAGGTAGTGGGCCATGCCCCGCACTGCAGAAGAAGGCAAAACGCCCACAGCCCGTATCAATCTGACCAGGGGGTAAAATTCCTTCCTAACCCCAAATTTGGTGATTGTTCTGACCCCGAGGAGAGGGGCAAGACCCTCTAGCCTGAAACCTCTGGCTTTGATCCCAGCAGGTGCATTGGTGCACCCCAGTCAAAAACCCCAGCTTTGACTCTAGCCAACAGCCAATGCCTCTGAGGACGGCTAAAAAACACCCTGATGCATGCAGCAGAAAGGGGAAGCCAGCAAAGCCCAGAAGCAAGGGAAATACCTGCAGTAGGACATAGGCATAGTTATGCCTAGATCATCAATGACTAATGGCTGTCCAACTTCTTGAACACGTCCAGTGATGGAGAGTCCACAACTCCCCTAGGCAGTCAACTCCACTGCCTCGTTATTCTAACAGTGAAGAAGTTTTTCCGGATATCCAATCTAAACTTACTTTGCTGCAACTTCAAGCCATTGCTCTGCATCCCCTTCTTTGAAGCAAGAGAGAAGAGGTGCTTTCCCTCTTAATGGCAGCCCTTCAAGTATTTGAACACTATCATGTTCCCTCTTAAGCACCTTTTCCACAAGCTTAGCATGCCTAGCACCTTCAGCCTCTCCCTCCTCAGATGTAGGGATCTCCATACATCATGATGGAAGTGCCCCGCACGGCGACTCCTTCAATGTTTTTCATTTCATCCTCCCCGGCCCCGATTTGCAGAGGGGTCCCACCAACTGGGCCACCTGCCGCTGATCACCAGGGAAGCAAAACCCACGGCGTATTTAAAACCTCCACCCATCGGGCAGGGGAAAGGGGTGGGAAGTGGCAAAAGGAAAAACATTAAAGAAGCCACTGCGGGGGGTACTTCTGGCACAATTTACGGAGATCCCTACTCACATGAGTTGCTTTCCAAGCTCTTTATCATCTTTGTTGCCCACCTTTGTGCCCTCTCTAACGTCTCCATGTCCTTTATAAAACGTGGAGCCCAGACCATAGTCCAACTGAGGCCTAACCGGGGCCAAATAGAAAGGCACCTACATCTGGCACCTAATGCTTCTACTGATGCATCTCAAAACCATGTTCGCCTTGTGTGTGGCCGCAACACGCTGCAGACTCGTACTGCGATCTATCGAGACTCCCAAATCTGTTTCCATAGTGTTGCCATCCAGCCAGGCTTCACCCATTTTATATTTGCACTTTAGGTTATTCTTCCTGAGGCGTAGCACCTTGCATTTGTCCAATGAACTTCATCCTGCTGACTCTAGCCCAACTTTCCAGTCCGTCAAGATCCTTCAAACAAGATCCTTCAAACATGCTGATATCCTCCAACGTGTTTGCAATACTTCCCAGTTTCGTGTCATCTGTGAACTTGCTCAAGACGTTTTCTTTGCTAGCATCCAAATTGGTAATGAATGTGTTGACCAGCACCAGGCCCCGGACAGACGCCTGTGGACTCCACTCAAAACCTCCTGCCGTTCTGACGTGGATCTGTTCATAATTACCACTTGCTTGCACCTATTGAGCCAGTTATCTATGCACTTCGGAGAGATGCGGGCTGGACAAAATGACTACAGTTTGTTTCTGAGAAGATCGTGCAGGACCGTGTCAACAGCCTTGCTGAAGTCCAGATATGCAATGTCCACAGCGTTCCCCTCATCCACTCCAGTCAAAAAAGGAGATCCGGTTTGTTTGACACAATTCGTGTTTCATATATCCAGGCTGGCTGCTTGTGATCAGCCTTTCCTGGGAGACAGGACAGAACTGCTAGAGACACAACAGATGCATTTTGCCAGTCGTCCCAGCTGTCAGCAAAATGTTCTTCGCCAACGTCGAGCAGGAAAAGCCATAAAGGCCCTAATATTCAAGACACCTCTAACTCCTTCATCTCTCAAGCCTCCATAGCGTTAATGGAGCAAAGCCTCTTGCTCCTCAGTGGAAATGCACTCTTCATGGCAAACGAACCCATACGGCTGGGCATAAGTGAAAAACTCCTCTTCCTAAACCAAAGGAAACCTGAGTCCATCCCCTCCTCCTGCCCGCAGGCAGTCTCCAACCTCAATCCCACAATACACTGTGCTATAGAGCTGTGGTTTGCAACCTTTTTTGTACCAGGACCCAGTTGTAAACGCTGATGGCCAGTCCCGACCCAGTGCCCCTCGCTCCTGACCCGCTGCCCCCTGCCCCCAGCCCCCAGCGGATCTCTGCCAGCCTGCAAGGGAAAGGGCACGGTTTCCCACGTTTCTCTCCTTTAAAGGAGAATCCATTTTTCAAGTTTGTTTGCGACCCTTTCTAATTTTCTTGGGACCAGCTTGTGGGTGGCGACTCACGGGTTGAGAAACGCTGCTATAGAGGATCCAAGCTTTGCAAAAACCACGAGGGTCTTTTAACCGAGTCCAATCTACCTACATTATGCAGACAGGCAGGTACGTACCGGAGGTCATTTATATCATTTCATAAGGATCAGGAACAGAGAAGCATGCAGGAGTCCTGAGGCAGCTCACACAAGAGATGGTTATAATGACACCCTGATGCTAGACAACGAGCCTAATATTAGCAAATGGCTATCCCAGGATGGCTGTGGACAGAGGAAGCCTAAACTGATGTAACAGAGACCAATTGTATTTACCCCTGATTAGTTCAGGCACTACATTTTCTACCGGCTTGAGTGATGCTGTTACTTGGGACCAGTTGAATATCTGTTACTTTTTATTTTTACTTTCTTTGTTTTAACATTGATATATAGCCAACTGCACAGCTGCACAAATGCCTTCGGTCTCATTTCTCAGCCAGGGGCTACACAACAAAGACCAACATTTCAAATCAGGAGAATGTTTCTGCAACAAGGCATCTTGTCTGCAACGGGACTGGTTTCCCTCACCCTTCTTTACCAGCCCTTCCCCTTGCAAGGAAAAGGCAACGACAGACCTGTCTACTGGAACACAACGGTGAGAAAGCATTGGTACCACAGGTGAAAACCTTCTTGCCATAGACGATCAGCACCCTCACGTAGTTCTGACATTCCTCCTGCAACGAAAGGCAGAAAACCGTGTGTGAGAGGGGGAGACAGCTGCATTAAAAGCACGATCTGGCACAGAAGAATCTCTTAACTTGTGTCAAAGGCTCAAACACACCTTCGTTAGCCTGCAAAAGCGTCTGAGAGCCTTTATTGGGATTAGAGCCCCAGAGAGCTAAATCACCTACGTGGACAAGGTCACCAACAAATGACGAACCTGCAAAGCAACGTGTCCACGGTGGGGTGAGCAATCCCATCTGCCGGTTAGTCCTCTAACCCAGGGGTGGGCAAAATGTGGCCCGGGGGCCGGATGCAGCCCACCAAGCCATTCTATCAGGCCTGTGGGGCTCCTAAAAAATTTAGAAAATTAAGATTTATCTGCCCTGGGCTGCCTGTCATGCAGCCCTCGATGGCTTGCCGAAACTCAGTAAGCGGCCCTCTGCCCAAAATAATTGCCCGCCCCTGCTTTACCCACAGTTTGCATGAAAAACCCGCTCGCTTTTCACCAGGCCCAGAGAGGGCTCGTGCTTGGCTTGGAGCGTGCTTACAATAGAAAGCATCTTACTCATTTTCTCAGTAATGGCACAGTGATGATACCGTTGCAGGAAACCCCAGCCTTGCCATAGCTCAGATGCCCCCTGCTAGCGTTCGTGCCGTTGCTAGCAGCGGTATAGCTGTGCTGCTGCCGAAAAACAGTGACAAAATCCTCTATTGTACACGACCCGAGTAATGAGAATCACTTTTGTGCCTGAAAGTTTCGCCGCCTGGTTTTTGTGCCCTAGTCCCACACAGGCACAACTGGCAGAGCAGCAAACGCACAGCCCCTACCAAAGTGCTCCCCTGACCCGCCCAGCAGAGCGGTGCTCTGAACCCGGCATGGGAATCATGCCTTCGAGCCGTGCGGCCGTCCTCCACCTCGCAGAGGGGAGGCTAGGAGTAACTGCTCATTTGTCAGGCACGCTGCGAAGAAATCAAACTAACTTCTACTGCAGACAGACAGGGGAACCGGGTAAAAATAACCACCTCGTCTCAGCTGTGTGGGCTGCTTTGAGCGTTCCCTCCTGCAGATCAGAAGCCACTAAGCTGAGCCCACGGTTGCAGACGCAGCTCCTTTCTCTGAGAGCAGCAATTGTGCTGCTAGTTCCCCTATCTCCGAGTGCTGCACGCTGCTGATCATCTCCCCAAAGACTTCCTTTCCAAGTTTCAGCAGTGTAAAAACGGCGCTGTGTCATCTGGAGAGCAAGAGACTTGCTTGGTTGGATTAAGTACTACCCTCTTCTCATTCCCTGCAGAAATCAGCTCCTCGAAGGATTTTACTTAAGGAAATAAACTACCAGCCACAGCTGCAGATTGAGGATGGGGTGGGCATGAGATCGGGGCATTTGTTATGTTCATCACCGCCGCACAGAGCTGAGCAGACAGCAGGAGCTGAACTTTCAGAGCAAATTTGGGAGTATCCCAGGCAAAGGCTGCACCGAACTGTGAAGTAAGGGCTGCCAATCTTAATTTTCAGGTCTGTTATGCCTCGATCAGATACAACAGGATCAGATATGAAAACACCTAGTGCCCTGGATACGGAGCTTTGAATCCAATTCAGCACTTCCTGTTGCAGAAGCAGATAAAGTGGGTGCGTCGGTCTGTCAAACAGGATCTTAGAAAGCAAGGTCCCATTTGCTCTGCACTGAGATTAAAGATCTCATGCCTCCTTTAAAAAGACTTAGATCTTACATCACTGTCTTTCCTTTCCCTTTAATATGGAGCTGTATGCTGTAGTAATTGGTAGTATGCTGTATGTGTACTAATTGGGCATCATCCTGCACCCCAGAAGTGGCTGCATTTCACTGGTGGGGGAAAGCTATTCCTCAATGTGGAGCACAGAGAAATCCAGCTCTGCCACAACCATAGAGGGAGGTTTCTGTCCACTTGGACGTGAGATTTGTAACCTAGAGCTGCACATTTGATTGCAAAGGACTCAGGACTGGCCAAGTCCATGCTGTATAAATAAGATATAAGGGCCCACCTCCCTTCCCCCACAGAGCTGTCTCCTAAGGATGGGAGGAAGGCAGAATTGTCTCCAGATCCCATTCTCTGCTCTCAAACTCCATCAGCTTTGAGGCTCTGAACTCAGAAGCCAGCATCTGATCCGAACAAGCTAATGTAGATTAATTTGATAGTGGAGGAAAAGGGGCATGGGGTTGTTGCCAGGGTTGACTGTAGTTTTACTAATAGGTTAGATGATGGATTTGTAGGGGATGGTTTGGATAGGAATGATCCTACCACTGGTGGGGGTTGGACGAAGTGACCTCTGAAGATCATTTCCATCCCTACTTTTCTATGATTCTAGGTGGCTTACGTGAGGGAAGCACTGAGCTCTGCACAAGTTATTGTTATTACTGGAGAAATCCAAATATCCCTCTGCAAACTATATTCCTCAAAGGTGTACCTAAGAAGTTTTGTGCCTTGGGCAGCAGTGGCTGTGGCTTATGGCTGTGAAAACAGCACTGAAAATTAATCCAGCCTATAAATGGATGCAGCATGATCTTCCAGAGTCTGTAAGCAACGATGTGCAGCAAGGTGCATACCGTGCCTTTTACTCCAGACCCGGGACGGGTGATTATTTCAGCTGGAGGGCTGCTTACTGCGTTTTGGCAAGCTGTCAAGGGCCGCATGGGTAGCCCCGCCCCGTGACAAGTGCCCCGCCCCCTGGTTGCCATCTTGTGACTTGAAGTCCCGCCCTCTAACACCTGACCTTTGTCACCAGAAGTCCCTCCCCTTGCCCCCAGAGGTACTCCTTTCAGCAAGGGGTTTTGCCATCTCAGAACCAGAATATAATTTGGTATTTTTCTAAAAAGTGAACATCTACGACATGCATTAATTTGATTTAAAAAAAAATATTTTTGTCCTGGTTTACAGGTGTTTGTGTAGTGTACATAGAGGTGATTGTAGAACAGCTTAAATGAAGTCTTACTCTTGTATATTGTGGTGGGGGGATAGGTTTGTGGGGGAGCTATGGGTCTGGGGGTGTGTGGGTATGTGGGAGAGGGTGTGGGTGTGTCTGTGGGGGGTAGATAGGTGTGGGGAGTGTGAGGGGTAAGGGAGCATGTGGGTGTGCATGTAGATATGTGGGGTGTGGGTGAGTATGGGGTTTGTGGGGGTTTGTGCGTATGGCAGTGTGAGGGAAGTGTGAGTGCATGTGTATGGAGGGGTGTGCGTGTAGGACTCACCCTATGAACACACTCGCACACAGTCCCTCCCTACACACACAGGTACACACACACTACACCCCCAGGCTCCCATGGGTCCAGGAATGCAGCCAGGAGCCACATGGTGCTGGAGCAGTGCAGGGGCAGGCAGGAAGGGAAATGGCTGGGGGTGGAGTGAGGCTGGGCTGCTGCATCCTGCTGACAGCTCCCCCTGGGGCCTACTTCCCCCGGCTCCTGTCATCTTTGACAGGCAGCCAGGAGCAGATAAATATTTTCTAAATGTTTTAGGGTCCCTGCAGGCCATATTTTGCCCACCCCTGCTCCAGACCCACCCACAGCTATAAGGGTGTTGAAAATAGGAAAGACTTGCATTTTTGCCTACTGAAGCTCAGTTTTCAATTGTGCCCGTTCAGGTGAAAAATAATTCAGGCCCATCTATCAAAACAGAAGCAGGAAGATTATGGAATCTCTGCGGAGAAGATCTAGCTGCTGTGGTCTGAGCCTTATAGCACAGCATCCCGGCCTGTGAGTCAGCCCGCCCACTCCTGACTGTATTAGCAAGGAACGTGGTTAGTATGGAGAGTGGGCTAAAATGGAAACATTTGACAGCTGGTATTTTTCACAAAATTGAATGTACCGAATCCACTAAATATTTCATTGGTTGTAACAGGCAGAATCTAGGGCAAATAATGGACATTTTCTACACTGCTCAGAAGAAAGAGAATGGGAATACTGCCAGGCAGAGAAATAGCATGGGGCAAAAGCAGTGGTAATTACTTCTACAATATAATGGCCTCAAATCAGGACAAGTTCCTCAAGCGAACAGGTCCTCTAATGATGATAACTATGCTTCACGTTGCTGGATGAGGAGCTGTGATAACACTGCACTTTCTAGGCACCGATCTCAAAGCCTTTTTAATGAAATTAATTAACACCTCACCCCATCCCTCTGATGTATGTGTGCATTATTTCCCTCTTTCCTTCCGATGTGCAAACCATGTCTGTGAAGAGAGCTTAAGGGATGTGCCTAAGGTCACTACTACAGAGCTGCTGGCAGAGAAAAGAGCGAGGAGTCTTGAATTCCAGCCCCTTACTCCAGCTGCCAAACAGCACTCCCTCCTACACGCCGCCCAAAATAATAGTGTATTAATACAATGTTCAATGCTGCACCCACGCTGCCACTTGCCTCAGTCTGCATAATGAGCAAGTCCCCAGCAAAAACAAAAGCAGTGCCGAAACTTTTGGATTCTCTAGCTTGCCCAATGATTTTTCTTAAAACCTCCTCGGTGGCA